GTCGATGGATCTTCTTCATTTATTGAGTAAATTTTTGAAACATTTAGAAATTTGAATTTGAAAAAAGAAGAATTAAAAAAGAATAATAATAAAATAATAAAATAATAAAATAATATTCTTTTTAAATTGTTTAACAAGAACTAAAAAAAATAAGGGTTTTTACAAAATAGTCAAATATTCTTTAAATGGTATGTTATGTTACTTTTTATTATTGTACAAAAGAAGACTGAAAAAAAGAATTAACAAATTAGACTGGACATAAAGGATTTTCATATAAATTAAAACTTGGAAAGAAAATTCATCAAAACAGAGGTGTTCCACAATGGTTTAGAATGAAGACTGGAAATACCATTAATTATAATTTCAAGAGAAGACACTGGAACAGAAGAAAGATGGGCATGTAAGAGGAGCTGCTTTAATTGAATTTTTTTTATGGTTAAAAAAAAAGAATATTATTTTGTTTTCAATAATTTGTAGAAGTTTTTAATTATTTTTAAAATTCATATCATTTTTTTTAACATTCTTTTTTAATCTTTTTTTTTTTAGAGATCTTTCAAATTCAAATTGAATGAAAAAAACAGCTTTATGGAAAAAACAATCCAAAAGCCCTGGACTTCCAAACTCTGGACAATTAATGGAATTTGAAGAATTTGATGAAGAAGATATTTGGGTTGATTGTTTGTCAACACTTAATAGTGATATTACAAGTGGAGTTATTTCATATTTATTACGACAATCATTAACAGAAGAAGAAAGAGAAAAGAATTCACAAATGATTTTAGGATTCTTTAAACAAATTGATAAATTACCTGAATTTATAAATTTCTGTATTGAAAGGGATTATTTTATAAAATTAGATGCTCCGACAATTTATTCTCCATTTACTTCAATAATTGTTTCAATTGTGAATATTTGTGATCAGGAATTATTTTTAGAACTTCAACAAGCATTAATTAAAAAATGTGGAAAATTAAAAGGAATAGAAGTTTGTTTTTATTTCTTTTATAAATTCTTTAATATTTTTAAATATTTATTCTTTTTAGTTAGATGAGGAAAAGAAAAGTTCCTCTGAAAAAACATTGAAAAAATTAAAAGAATTATTGGTATATTTTGTTGAAAGTTGGATGAATTATAAAAATTTTTCTCCGTTTGTTTTGTTTAACATTTCTTAAAAACACAAAAAATAAAAAGAGGGTTAATTTTAATAGACTTGTTATTGATATTTGGTCACAAACACAAGAATTATTAATAATTAAAGGTGTTGATCAAATTACAATTGATAAAACAATGACACGTATTATTTTCTTATCTCCTTTTAATTCATTTGTTTCTTGTTGGAAGTCACAAGTTGAAACAGTTGATGCAGTTATTTTATTGTCTAAATTATTACAGTCATTATTATCACCAATACCAACACAATCATATTGGAAAAATTGGATGAAAGATAATTGTAAAGATTTATTAGAAAAAATGACTAAGTTTATGAGAAGTAAAAAAGGAATTACTATTCAAAGAAGAAATTTTGATTTAAATGTAATACCAAATGGTTCATTATTAATTGAATCATTAAATAAAGATTGGCAAGAATTAAAAGATTATATTAGTCCTGAAGGATTTCATTTAGTTGAAATTCATATGAAAGAACAAACAGAATTAAAAGTAAAAGCATTATTAATTATTAGAGAATTAAATAATTTACGAGTAACTACGTTTAATGAAAATCAAATGTATCTTCAAAAAATGTCACAAATGAAAATGAGAATAAAAGACTTATATGAAGAAAGAAGATATTTAAAACAATTACTTGGAGAAGATGATGATGATGAGAAACAATGAAAATTTGTTGTAACTGAAATTATTTTTTTAATTTTTAATTCATTTTAATACATTAAAACATATTAATTTTAATGAGAAAAGTTAATTAATGAAGAACTAAGGATGAAGACAACGTTCATGATAAAATTCACCATTTTTAACAATTGAAGTTTCTCTTGAAGTAATTTTAGTTTGACAAGCTTTACATTTGTTGGTATAAGTAATAGTAAATCCTCTTTTATTTAAATTATTAAATAATGCTCTTTGAGCTGAATCAACAACACTTAAATGAGAAAATAATTGTGAATAATATCTAATAGAAGGTAATAATAATATAAGAGATTCAGAACTTTGAAGAGAATCAAAAATAAGACTGAAAATATTCAAATTATCTCCAGTTTGTGCTTGTGCGTTATTATTATTATTAATCCAATCTCTTTGGGTTTTAGTATTTTTTAATGGAATAATTGGGAAAAATCTAATAAATACTTCTAATGCAATTGCAGGAGCATATGCTTTTTGAGTAAATAATTTTGCAATAAATACATTAAGAAGAGGAGATTTTCCATTAGCGTCTTCAAGACAAACACAATGTAGTACAATTTCTGATAAAATATTTTTTCTACCAGATAAGAAAGGACGATGATGTTGTCTAATAAGAGTAATGTACTTTTCTTGATTAGTATTATTTTGGAATGAATTTGCAATTTTTGGATTAATTGCATTTAAAAATTCATATAAATCATCAATAAAAGCAGTTATATATTTCTTTTCATCAACTGTTAATAATTGATTTACAAAAGCTCCAAAATATTCTTCAAGACCATCAATCAAACTAATATGATGTTTTACTCTACATTGTAATCTCCAAGATAATCCGTGTGTTTTAGTGATACGTTCTGCATAAGTATTAATTGACATAGCTGAAATTAATTCTTCAGTTGCATTTAATTCATCTTCTCCTGGAAGTTTAGAATATTCTAAATAACATTCAATAAGAAACATATAATCAGAACTTGTATTTTGATCATAATAAGCTTTTAAATATTTAATTAAAGGAACATATATTGTTTTTAAACATGACTTTGAATATTCAATACCATCAGGTTCATCTTTATAAGCTTCTTCAACAAATGAAACAATATTTTTAACACCTTGTTCTAAATCTGTTCCAATTTTAAGAAGTTGATGATGACAAAGAGATAAGAAGAATGAAACTATAACATCGGGAACAATTCTTCCACAATTTTTAGCAAGTGATTGACAAACTTCATTATATTTTTCATTTTCAAAAGCAAGTAATGAAAAGATAATAGTTTCACTATAAAGTGATGTTAAATTTTTATCAACAAATGGGAAATAAGAATCAGTATGTTTTTCACAAGGAATACCAAGTTGTAAACAATCAGGACAAGTCTTACAATCTTTATATTTCTTTCTTAAAATATCTAAATTTTCTACTAATTTAAATTTATAATTTTTTTCATCAATAATTTGGTCTTTTAAAGAATTTTTTAGAAAAGCAATTAACTCTCTTTTTGTTTTTGTAATTATTGTATTAACAAGAGTAACATATTTTTGATCTTGTTGTTCACCTTCTCTAACTAATTTTTTTGAAGGATATTCTGCATTTAATATTAAATACATTAATTCATCATGAGTTTCTTCATCATTATCAAGAAATGTTAATGAACATCTAATTTTATAATAAACTTGTTGTAATTGATCTTTTTTATCAGCAAAACATTTTTTTGCAGAAGTTTGAGTAGTAAAAATTAATCTACTACAATAAGAAACAAATTGATCAGGAACTTGAGGTAAAGTAGGTTCAGAGGCTACAAATTCGAAATATTCTAAATAAGAAAGAATAATTCTTTCAGTTAACCAATCTAAATTTAAATCTGAAGCTTTATGTTTTAATAATTCTTCATATAATGTTCTTAGGAATAAAACACAAAGTCTTAATCTTAATTCATTTTTATATTCAAATATATCATGAAGAACCCATGTTTTAATATGTTTAATACAAATAGCAACGGTTGATTTCATTTTTCTACCACCAAAAATTTGGAAAACATCTTTACCTAAAATAGTATTAATTTCATCATATGTTTTACTTTTGTTTTTTTCAAGAACTTCTTTTAAATATAATTCAACTTTTCTATCAAAATTTATAACATTTGGATCAGCAGAATCAGTTAAAGATAAATCAATAGCAACTGCTGAAAGAGCTTTAAGTTTTAATTCAGTACTAATATTTGGAATATTAAAAATACCATCAAGATAATTCATATTAATATAATATTCTATTAACATCATTCCACTTATTCCATTAATAACAACATCAGAAATTAAATAATCAGTTTGTTTAACAATTTCTTTAATATATTCATGAGTTGGATTAACTCTATGAAGAATAAGAAGAAATGAAGTTAAAAAAATCATATAATCTTCTTTATTTTTTGGTATTTTTGTACTAAAATCAACATCTTCTTCACTTGGATCTAAATCAAAAAATGTTTTATTATTTTGATATAATAATGATGATAAATCTGTTAAAAATTCTTTTTCTACTTCTTGTGAAACATTCATTTTCTTTTTACCATTTTCTGTTGCTTCTTTAATAGAATTAAACATTCTAATTCTTGCTAATTTAGTTGCAGATTCTTTAGGAAGTTCTGATAAATCATTAACCCATTCAGATTCAGAAAACCATTTTTCAAAATGTTTAAAGAATTCAGAAAAGAAGTCTTTAATAATAGTATAAACTAAAACACCAAGAATAATTTTAACTGGAATATTTGATTGTTGTAATTGATAAAAAGTTTCTGAAAGAAAGTCTATATTTCTACATTCAGGATTTGTGTAAAAACTACCAATTCTAAGACATGAATAACAAAATCTTGTTATTTTAATTAATCCTTCTTTATCTTTATTTACTAATGTTGGAAATTTATCACTAAATTTAAGTGCTGCTTCAAAATAAAATTTAGAAAATGCATAAAAGAACCAATCTTCTTTTGGTTTAAAAAAGAGACCTTGTTGTTTTTGTGGATTAATAAAAATAGGTGCAAATTGATGTGAATTTGTATATCCTTCTAATGTAACTTGTTTAACTATTTCAGGAACCATTGAAATAGAATTATCAAGTGGAATAACATAATAAGAAATAGAATCTGTTGTATTAATTAAATATAAAATTGGTGATACAAATGCAGCAAATATAACATTACTTATTTTTAATTTACATATTTTAGATGATGAACAATAATAAGCATCTCCATCACAAATAACTAAACATTGTACTAAATCTATTTTCATTACTTTATTTTTAATACATTTTTTTGGTAATTTTTGTTCTTGAAGAAAAACTGCATTTTCAAAAAAACGTGCAACAACAATTTTTTCTTCACATGACATTAATAAGTCTTTCCCTAAAAATATCATTCCTTGTACTTTTGAATCTGATGTATGAACTCTTGTTATTGCTTTTATATTTCCTTGTGAATTTATAAGTCCAATACTAACTGCTCTTTTTTTATCTTCATAACATGCAATTAATACTGAATCTTTATATATTAATGGACAAATTAAATCAAAATTTAAGTCATGAAATCTTTTTTCTTGATTTACTCGATTTATTGATTCTGTTGATGCTATTGATGTAATTGGTTGTCCAATTGTATATACTTCTATTTTATTTTTTTGTAATGTAATTAATATATTTAATTGTTCAATAAAATATACTTGATCTACTGTTCCATGTAATTTTAATTCAAAATAAAATTGTGTTGGTGGGTCAACTTTAGTATTAATAAATGTTAATCCTGGTCTTTTATTACTTCCAAAAACATAATTCCCTTCATATGTATCTCCACAAGTTGCATCTTGTAAACGTTGAACAATATTAATATCTGGAATATTAAACGTAGTTAAATCTACAGGTGAAATTGACATACTTTCTTTTTTAGTTTTTTTCTTTTTTTTTATTTTTTTTACTTTTTAGTTTTTTTTAGATTATTTAAAGTTCTTCTTCCTTAAAATAATTCAATTATATATCAAGCAATATGTGAATATGTGTTTGATCTTTTTCATCATCATATATCTCTAAATTATGCCAAGTAATAGCTTTAATTTCTGTTCCTTGTTGATGTTTTCCAATAACAAAATATTCTCCAATTCTATATTTATTAATGTTATAAAAAACTATTTTTCATAATTTAAAAAACAAACCCTTTACATTCAATATGGATATTCTCTTCATCATTATCATCAAATACTTCACATTTAAATGATTTACCAATAAATAACTCAGATGAAAAAATACATAACCATGAATCTAAAAATTTAACTAATGCTTCTTCATAACTTGTTGCATCAATACTTATTTTTTTAATTTCTTTCTCTTCAACTTTTGTTAAATCACTCATAAAATTAAACATTCCTGCAGCTGCATTTTCAAATGCTTCAATAATATTTTTTCCCCATGAATGTAAAATAACATCAGCTGGATGATCCAAATCTAAAATTAATGAACGTTTATTTTATTTGATTTTTTAATATAAACAAACATTCAAATGACATAAGATAATAATATTTAAGTTCTTCTTTAATTCATCTTTGAGGAATAACAAAAATATTATATTCTATTTATAAAATACCTTATGAAGTAAAAAAAAATGAAAAGAACTTTAAAAAGAA